CCTAAGTTACTCGACTCAGCTCGAATAATACATCACCCGTAGTATTTTTTTTTTAACAAAGTGCATACTTCTCGTGTGAACGTCATACTTTTTTTGTTCAACAAAAGTTAGTTAATTTGGTCATTTCCAATTTAAAACGCGTGTGTGATGTGCAGCAAAAATCGACAAAAGCACAGTCCATAAGTGGGGCGACGAATTCGCCGGTGACAAGGTGCCGTGAGGGTTTTTATGCTGCCCATGGATGCGATTTTCAGCGTGACGAAACCCTAGGCGACTTCCAATTTCGTGAGCAGCGGAGGCCAAACGGTGGGTTTGCGGCGGCGTGGACGTACGACGGCCCACGCGCCGCTGGGCCGGCGACGGATTTGCAGCAGCCTGGAAATGAGAACTATAGAGCCCCGCGGTGTTCGAGTTTTGTTCACCGATGTAGTGGGTGACCTAGGCGACCATTCATTTTACGATGGCCTGCCAATTTTTGATGAGGAGCCCCCGGAAGCAGTGGTACATCGTACCGGCGACAGGGCAACTTTTATGATGAATCGCCAATTTTCGATGAGGAGCATTCGGGACCGAAGGAAGAGGAGGTCTACGGTCCTCTTAGAATTAATGAACTAATGACAAGTGACTCAACAAATGTACTTTCCCCTGGAAGAACATTGAACGAGACAATTCGTAGCAGATTCGTCGTTCAAACATATTTCAGCTGCCAAATGAAATGTTGTCACTACCCTGTCTGCTTCAAATATACATGGACTTGGTAGTGTAAAAGCTGCAACATATCTGACTAAACGGAAGTTGTTATTTATTGATGGTTCATTTGAGAAGGCTTTGAAAGGAAAAATAAGAATTACCATACAAGGTGCTTATGGCTTGATACATGAAAACTTCTGGATGTACTTCATAATGCTACCCATGCTGACATAATTGGGCGACATTCAACCTTCGTGGTTGATAGGGAGAACACGTCGGACAATTCCTGCCATGGATACGACTCCGTGTCGACACGTTTGGTGCGGCTTTGAGGGCGAAGCCTTCTGAACCGGGGGAGAGCGATATGGATAGGGCATTAGTTTAAGTATTATTATTATTATTATTATTTTTATTTGATATTCAATATTATTATTACTAGCATTTAATAATTATTTGTTATTTATGATTATTTCTTGGTGAACAAGGTAGGTCTAGGACATTAGGAGTCTTATTTGAAGACTCATTCTTCTTTGTTATTGAGTAGTTGATGAATGAAATAAGAATTTGATTATGTATGTCGTATTCTGAGATTGAGATAACATTCTATCATTCTCACCCGTACGCTTCCTCTACCTCAAACATGTAGAAGAAGAAGATAACTTGCAATTGCAGTTGAAGGTTGAACTTGATGTGGATATACCATATATACATTTGTAGGTAGCCTAATACAAAAGGAGTCCTATTTATTCTCGGATATATCAACATCTTTTGCATATTTAGCTTAAGAGTCCTATGTAAATTTACTCTTAAATTAATTGATTTAATTTGCTCTATTTATTTTTTCTATTGTTACATGTTTAATACACATTAAAAAAAAAAGAAAAAATACAATATTAAATAAAATCATACATAGGTTATTTATAAACTAGTTATTTTCAAATAATAATGCATTTTAGGACCCAAATTATAAAAAAAAAATCACAAATCAATCATCTATAAACATTAAAAGTTAGTATATATTTGTAATTAAAAGAACTTCGTAAATGTAAAAATTAAAAAAAAAAAAAATTGTGGGTGAACCGCATAATTTTTTCCAAATTACTACTACTATTATTATTATTGACGGGTTGGTTATTAGAAGGTTAACAAAATTACACTATTCACCTATAAATCTCTACTAGTATTCGACCTGTGCATTTGCACAGATATAAATAAATTATTGTGAGTCTGTATGCATATAATGATTAATTATTTTTCTTTCACTTTTTTGCAGACCAAATTTACAATTAAAAGAGTTGGAATATTTTTTTTTTAAATTGCGTTTATCTGATTGGATGTAATGTATATTTTGGTACGTCTTTTATTTGTGAATTATTTATTTAGGAAATTTAAATATATTTTTTATTTTTTTAAAAAAAATTAAATGTAACAACAATAATAACACTAATCACATTATACGGTCAACACATTATATGGTCAACTGTCGTTAAGCAAAAGTTTAAAATAATTTTTGTAATTTTGAAGTGATGAGTATTAATTATTTAATGATTGAATGAAAGATTAAATACATCAAAATGTAATGGTTTTTGGAGGGAAAATTGTTAAATTGCCACATAGGTAAAATTAAATAGGTTTTATTAAATGTTTTGAGCTAGTAATTATATATATATATAGATTTATTTACGAATTGATAAAGTTTTATTATTAGATCTAAATTGCACTATTTTTAGTTTATGGTTTATTTATCAGTAGTTTCGGTATGATATTGAAATTTAATACTGTTCTTTTTAACCAATGACCCAATTAAGTTAGCCCATAAGCCCAAACCTACATCTCATCCATATTCCGAAATCCGGCTCACACAGATCCACCCGACCTTTCTGTGTCAACAATGGCGGCCGCACCCATCTTCAGATCTTCCTTCCTCTCCACCAAAACCCCGCCCCAGGCCAGCCCCATCCCTCGCGCCCCCCCTCACGCCGCCCTCACCGTTCGAGCCACCGCCACCTCCACCTCCTCCGACCCCCCGTCCCCCGCGGCATCCGCCTCCACCCCGCTCAAGCACCGCCGCCCCGCGGACGAGAACATCCGCGACGAGGCCCGCCGCCACGCCTCGTCCCACGGCTTCTCCGCCAAGTATGTCCCCTTCAACGCCGATCCATCCTCCACCGAGTCTTACTCCCTCGACGAGATCGTCTACCGCAGCCGCTCCGGCGGCCTCCTCGACGTCCAACACGACATGGACGCGCTCCGCAAGTTCGACGGCGAGTACTGGCGCTCCCTCTTCGATTCGCGCGTGGGCAGGACCACCTGGCCGTACGGGTCGGGCGTCTGGTCCAAGAAGGAGTGGGTCCTTCCCGAGATCGACGGCGACGACATCGTGAGTGCCTTCGAGGGGAATTCCAACCTCTTCTGGGCCGAGCGTTTTGGCAAACAGTTCCTGGGCATGAGCGATTTGTGGGTCAAACATTGCGGGATTAGCCACACGGGCAGCTTCAAGGACCTGGGCATGACCGTCTTGGTCAGCCAGGTCAATAGGCTCCGTAAAATGAACCGCCCATTGGTGGGCGTTGGCTGTGCCTCCACTGGTGACACGTCCGCTGCCCTATCCGCCTACTGTGCTTCTGCCGGAATCCCATCCATCGTTTTCCTGCCGGCCAATAGGATCTCAATTGCCCAGCTTGTTCAGCCAATTGCAAATGGCGCGTTTGTTCTGAGCATCGATACTGATTTCGATGGCTGTATGCAGTTAATTCGTGAGGTCACGGCTGAGCTGCCTATTTACCTGGCCAATTCATTGAACAGCTTGAGGCTCGAAGGCCAGAAAACTGCCGCCATTGAAATCCTGCAGCAGTTTGACTGGCAGGTGCCTGACTGGGTGATTGTCCCCGGTGGAAACCTTGGAAATATATATGCCTTCTACAAAGGCTTCCGTATGTGCAAAGAACTCGGGCTCGTGGATAGGATTCCGAGGCTAGTCTGCGCTCAAGCCGCGAATGCTAATCCTCTTTACTTGCATTACAAATCGGGTTGGAAGGATTTTAAGGCTGTTAAGGCCGAAACAACATTTGCCTCGGCAATTCAGATTGGGGACCCAGTTTCTATTGATAGGGCAGTTTATGCCTTGAAAAATTCAAAGGGGATTGTTGAGGAGGCAACTGAGGAGGAACTGATGGATGCTATGGCACAGGCGGACTCGACTGGGATGTTTATCTGCCCCCATACTGGTGTGGCTTTGACTGCGCTGATTAAGTTAAGGAATAGTGGGATTATTGGGCCCACAGATAGAACAGTTGTGGTGAGTACGGCTCACGGACTGAAGTTCACACAGTCTAAGATCGATTACCATTCAGGGGAGATTAAGGATATGACTTGCCGGTATGCTAACCCGCCGGTGCAGGTGAAGGCAGATTTTGGTTCAGTTATGGATGTCTTGAAGAAATATTTGCTCAGCAAGGATTCTTGAGAAGGGGACTTGGGAGAGTGTTGTGTTTGTGCTCCTGTATTTCATGTTGCTGTAAAGCAAGCAGAGCAGGTTAGCTGCGGTAGTTTCGTTGTTATTGTCGTTTTTGTTCTTGCGCTTATGTAGACTAGAAGTTATGTTTTAGTTTTTTTCCTGGATGGGTTTTAAGTGATGCGTACTGGTAGCTGGGTTTTGACTATGAAGAGCTGTATCTGTGACAGATTGTGTTGGGATTTTTGTTTTAATAAACTAAGTTTATGAATTGATTGGTTGCTTTAGAGCTTTTGTTTTTGTGTGGGAAATGCTTTGTTTTCTGGAAAATAATGTCTCATAATACTTTGTCATGCATTTAACAGGTCTGTTTTCAATTCTTTTGAGGTGGAGAAGCACAATGCGAACACATTATTCATATACGAAAATTCCCATGGCATAGTAAAGTTGTAACTAAAATGCAGGAGCTTCTGTAATGATATGTCAATTTTTTGTTTGTATTACTGTTGCCTTTCCTGGAACCAACAATTTCACCTAGCAGTAACTTATGGTCACTGTAAATTTCTGGATGCTTTTCTGTTAAGTGCTGCTTGTATTTGGTTCCATTTTGCTCTGTGAAATTGGGAGTTTCTGTGTGCCCCTGAATCGTGTTGTGCTATTCATGAATCTTGGAGCTCATACATGGAAATAAATATCAATAAGGACTTATCACCTATGACACAAGCTATGCCCAAATANAAAAAAAAAAAAAAAAAAAATCACTGCGAAAGAAATTTCAAGCGAATACATTATTTGAGTTCATGGATAAAAGACTATCTGCCATGAACACGCTGGTCAATCAAATTTTCCTCACATATCAGATTTTATCACCAACTCTTCTCTGTAGTACTGAATGATCTGTTTTCTGCTTCTTCGAATCAGTTCTTTGCCCTCTTTGGATACTAAAAAGAAGATATCCATGTATAATCTCGATATTCTCTATCGTCTTGGATATACAAAGATCCTCGTTCAGCTTCAACACCATCCTACAGTAAGTTATTTCCTGCAACGAAAATAAACAAAATTACTAATTTACTATCTATTAAAACCCAACATTAACTTCTTTAGAAACAGGGCATTTTGATATTTCACAAGGCTTGCCTGATTTGAACTTGAAAGTTAGGTCTAGCCAAGCTTTCCTCAGGAACTTGGTTTTCCGTGTAGAGCACAACTCTCACCTGAAGACATTCATTCCCAAGAGCTTCTTGTTCCTCCACCATTTCCTTCACAGATATGATGGCAGAATCTATACATCTGTCCAATGCAATAGATTTAAGTGTCGGTATATTTGATATTTCCAATGGGATCTTCTGTGACTTGTCGGTATATCCCCTATTTCACCCCATGTACATTGGTTGTCTGATTATCTTACTTCAACTAATATCTTAAATTGCAAATTAGTGACCGCTATAAATTTGCAGCTGGACATTTCTTTGTATGAACTCGTTCAACTGGACGTGCCTAAGCTGGGTCATCCTCCAACTGTCTAGTGGCGGTTGATATAAATTCCAGTTTGTCCGATTCACGACTAGTATCGGTAAATTCCAGAGCCGATAGAGTGAGGAAATGAGTCCCGATCCCAGCACTTTAGATTCAACAGCAAGATGGCGCGCGTTGACTGGCTGGAAAACTTCTTCTAGGGAATACTCATCACCGCTCCATCTTCTAAGTAAGTAAATCTCATTGAATTTTCTATCACATTCAGCACACTCAACAATCTAAGAGCAAGAATCGGCACAGCTTCTTTGAAGAACATATTTGTTGACGATACTTGTGTATTATAAATTAGAATTTAGATGTATGCTTTACATTAGAATTCACTAATTATAAGTTCTATAACAGCTTTTGTGATTGAGTTGCAACTGAAGATGCTCAAACACTGGTGCTTCGATTACGTTGCACAATGCACTTGAGAAATATGATTCGCTTTTATTGAGGAAAGACAGCAAGCTATTCGAACAATGCATTTGAGAAATATGATTCGCTTTTATTGAGGAAAGACAGCAAGCTAGTTGAACAATGCATTTGAGAAATATAATTCGTTTTTATCGAGGAAAGACAACAAGCGAATGATCATCCCATAAACTTTAACACGGATACATGAAAGTTCCGACTCGCTAAGCTCTCTCCTTGTAGTTGGGTCCGTATGTCTAGCGTAGCTTCAATCTCAAGCCACACATTCCCAAGACACTCGTATTCATCTAATATCTCCTTTGCAGAGAGCACGACAGAGTCTGAACACGAGCTTATCTTGATCCACCTAATCCTCGGTAAATCCCCTATTCCCAAAGGTATCTCCTTCAGCTCGTGTAAACCTATTAGTTCGAGCCGCTCGAGGCGCGGGAAGTGCGTGGGCCCCGCCATCCAGCACTCCAGAGTCCAGCAGCTGTTGATGCCCAAGTATTTCAGGCTCCGAAATCCGCCCTCGGCTGTATTCCACTCGGGCCCCACGAACGAATGTATATTTAGCTGGAGTGCCTCGAGATATGGCAATGGGCCTATTTTTGTCGTCATGTCCTCCCAGCCGAGGCACGTGCCTTCCAGAGTCAGCTTCTTGAGTGAAACAGGGAAAGTGATAAAGTCCCTTGCCAGCTCACTTTGCCTCGGCACCTCGGGCCAGAGAAAAGAGCATGAAAGGACCTCCAGCTTATGTAGACGGCTGAGATTGTTGAGGCCGTGATTTGGTGATAAGTCTTTGATTTCCTCGTAATTTATTCCCAACTTTTTGATATTTGGGATTCTCTTAACCATTTCTTCACCGCATGTGAAGTTATATACGGTCTCGAGCGTTTCAAGACTGTCCATGACCACGGAACCATTTTCTTCCTCCACAGGAGGAGGATCTGTGAGCTTCAGCATGTGTATCTTCACACGTACGAGTTGAGGCATCTGCCAGATGTCGAGCACAGGCCAGTTACGGTTGTTACAGTGTTCGTTCCGGTCCGAATTAATTATCAGCGTCCTTAAGTTCCAGAGACGGTAAATTGGCGGTGGAAATTCATGCGCTGGAAGTTTAGCTACGATGGCCAAGTGGCGCGTGTTAACCAGATGAAAAATATCTCCAAGCAGGCGCGCGTTCCAGCTGCTCGAGCTCTCGTCGAAAAATTCGAATTCATCTACCGAGTGTAGAATCCTCAGCAATCTAAAAGGAATAACCGAAGGTAAAGCTCCGTCGACATTCCATATCAGAGTACGCGCGCGTGATGCAGATTGTACGACTTCAGGAAGCGGACGAGGAATGTATTCTTGTTCTGATGTGGCTTGGTGAATGCCGATACGGCGTTGGGCGGGCCAGCTTTGACCGAGGTCAAGGCCGCGCGTTGTTTCCATTGTCTGTAAGAAGTTGTATTTTTCGGCTTCCTTTATGCAGAGGTCCCTCAGGAGATCGTGAATAGTGCAGCGTTTTATTTTTCTTGTACGGCCCTTAGTATGAATCTGGACGAGATTTCTAAGGACGAGATCATGTAGGCAGAGTTCTCTGGCAACTGTTTCCGGGCTTTGGCTCTTACCTTTGACACGGCCCACGAATCCTTCGGCGACCCATAGCTTCATGAGTGTCGGGACGTGAATCTTGTGATCCTCTGGGAAAATCCCCATGTAGAGAAAACACGGTTTTAGATAGACAGGCAGTTGGTCGTAGCTCAGTTGCAATATTTTAAAGCAATGCTCCCCATCTTCTAAACTCAAAATCGAGCTCAAATTTTCCGCAACGTGTTGCCAGTGTTGGCATGTTCGTTCGGATCTTGATAAGAGTCCTCCGATCACGACAATGGATAATGGGAGGCCTCTGCAGTTTCTTGCAATGTTCTTACCGATATCTTCAAGTTCTGGAGGGCACTCTTCTTCCCGAAACACGCATCTACGGAGAAGATTCCAGCTTCTGTCTTGATCCAGAAAATTCATGAGAATGAAATCCCAACCATTCAGTTGAACACCGATTTTCACCGTCCTAGTGGTTATCAAAACTCTGCTCCGGTTATTGTTATCTGGAAAGAACGGCTTCACTTTATCCCAAGCTTCGATATCCCACACGTCATCCATCACAATTAGGTATCGTCGGCCAAATAAGCTTTTATATAGTTTCTCTCCTAGCTCTTGTTCGCTAGTTTGGCCGAACTTTTCAGTGCTCCCTATGGTTTTCAAACAGAGAAGGACTTCTAACAGAATCTCTTTTGAATTGTACTCTTGAGAAATTGTAGCCCATCCACGAACATCAAAGTATTGCACGATGAGTGGATTTGCGTAAATATTTCTCGCAAGAGTGGTCTTGCCAATCCCGCCCATGCCGCAAATTGGGTAGATTTGGCGACCGGAATTTTGGCCGGTCAGCTTGTCCATGACGTAGTTCTTGACACCATCAAAGCCCACCATCAAAGAAGAAGAAGAAGAAGAAGAAGAAGAAGAAGAAGAAGAAGAAGAAGAAGAAGAAGAAGAAGAAGTTTTCGAAGAAGAAGGAGAAAAAGAAGAAGTTCTTGATGAGGAAGTTCTTGAAGAAGAAGAAGAAGAACCCTCCTCGATTTTCCCGGTCTTCTCTTTAATATCAGTCGCGTCTTTTGCGATGGAATCAAAGTTGTGCATCACTTTTTGTAACGTTTGGAACAACGAGTCATCATTTGAAGTGATGCTAGCTTTGCCAACACAATAGGCTATATGGGATTCGATAATATCCTCAGCTTCGTAAGCTGCATCGGCCATACGCTCCTCCAAGGCGTCATTAGTATGTTTTTGGATAAAATATAGCAAGAAATTAATGTTTTCGATCAGAGGATTGATTTGAAGTTTGTCGAGGGAGATCGGAGGGCGAGGATGGTTTTGGATTTGGTCTATGGTGTGCCTAAGAGAAAGCAGAGCTGCAAAAGCTGCCATGGATGAAGCAATAAAGCTTGGAAGATTTTTCTCAAAGACTGGTGGAGAAGAAGAAGAACAAGAAAGAGGAACTTTTAATGATAAACACCATTAAGTGAGTGGACCTTAATGTACCCACTAGCTTTAATAACTTTAGGTGTGTATGGTTTTGAAAATATTAAAATATGAAGAAAAGGGAAAACTAAAAAAAAAAAAATGTTTTGCAACCATTATATATTGTTGATNTCATGTTAAAAAAAAAAAAAAAAATCTTGGCAATATGAGACAGTTAAAAAATTATATGCAATCAATTGATATGCCCTGCCCTATGCTTGTAAAAATTCCAACTCACTATGCTCTCTCCTCGTAATTGGGTGTGCAAGTGTAGCGTTGCTTCAATCTCAAATCACACATCAAAGTTTTGCACGATAACCGGATTAGCATAAATACTTTTGGCAAGAGTAGTCTTACAGATGAGCCCTGATGCAAAAACTCTTGTCTTTCGAGCTAATGCTTGTGGCCTTAAAGAAACTGGTGAGACTCGTGTTATGATGCGCGATTTCAATTTTGTGGGTTCCACGATATGCGACTCGATTAAATCCTCTGCCTCATAAGCTGAATCGGCCATGCGGCTCTCGAGGGCATACACATCAACTGAATAACTCTCGAGAAAATGTTGCAAGAAGGTAACTTATTCGATTACAGGCTCAATTTGTGGTTCGGGAAGTAACTTTTTCTCTCTACTTTTAAGAGAAAGTAGAGCTGCATAAGCCACAGCCATTTTGATTTTATTCCGACCAAAATTCGACCAGCTTTCAGGATAATCGGTTTAAGAACGTCACGATGTAAATGGATAGATAAAGAACTCAAACAACAAAGATATTACAGTAAAGAAGAGGTCCAGGATCAGCCCTTTAGCTTTAGCTATATGACTACTAAGCACAAATTTTGCTTAGCTTTTGGCCTTCTGGCCTCTGTATCTTCCATTTTAGACTTGCCTTGCCTTCTCCACTAACATGTAAAAAGGAAGCACTCTTTTTNCGAAAACATTTTCCGGTGAGCTTAGGTTGATCGAATTGTGCCACATTGAATGAAGAATCTATGACCGATGACAAAATCGAGCGTATAATAAATATGCATTTTTATTCAATTCGTCACCACTTTGATCTCTATATATTATTTCAATCAAACAATACAACCACAGCTCTAACTCGACTTTACAGCAAATGTTCATGTCTTATTATATAGCAACCAAAAAACCAGTCCTCACTCTCCTTTATCCTCCATTGATGGGCACTCGCACGTCCCAAAATGGGTTTATAGCAAACAAATAATAATAATAATAATAATAATAATAATAATAATAATAATAATCATTTTCTTTCACCAGCACCTGGACCAAGCCCAGACAAACCTACCTCTCTTTTTTTCATGGAATGGATTTTCTCCATCTTCAGCTTTGCCCGGAAATTCGTGATGAAGCTCTCGGCTTTCGTATTCACATCCGGGCTCCGGCAGAAATTCGGCGAGTCCCCGTCGTCTGTGTCCGGCGACCCGCTTCTGGAGCTTTCTATGCTGTCGATTCTGACGTAATCTCCCTGCACCACGAATTTCCAGGCGGGGGTTTTGAAGAATCCTGCCGGCGGAGGTGGAGGCGGCGGCGGGATGAAGTTCAGTGGCGATTCGGCGGGATTTGGTGGCGACTCGTCGGTTTCCGGTGGTGCCGGTGCGGGCTCGGAAGTGGGTTCGAGTTGTGGCGTGAGTGTCACTGTTATGATTCTCTTACTCTTATGTATCTTGGATGAGAACAGGTTCTGGACGACCGACGGTGGAGGGAGAGGCGGCGGCGGCGGAGGCGGTGGTGTTGGCGGCGGGATCTGGAAGATCGATGGAGTTTGAGCCTCGTGAAGAAGAGGGTCTAAGTGGTCGGCGCTCTTTTGCCTCGGCTTTTTCTTCCTTTTCTGGTAAAGGGAATTCAAGAAATCTTTAGTAGGGTTTCTCTTCCGGTCGCTGTTACTGCTCTTTTGCGACGGAGGAGGAGGAGGAGCTGGCGGCGGAGTTACTTCGGCATCTTTCTTTCTTTTCCGACCCGATTTCTCCTTTCTCCACGCCCCTTTTTGATACGACCGCTCTACGCTTTCCTCCGGCACAGCCGACTCCTCCGCCGCCGTCGCCGCCGGCGACCTCTGTGCTTTGATTGGATCCGACGGCTCTGAAACTTCCTCCTTCAGCCTCGCGCCCGATACATCCCTCATTTTCAGATTTTCTTCAGGACAAGGCGCAGCCACTGCCGCCGCCACCGACGGCGGCGGCTGATTAATTTCGCCTCTTTTGGATTTTGTCAGCAATGTATCAACGACGAAGGTCTTACTCTGCGGCGGAGCTCTCAGATGCTCAACGGCTTCTAAGCTCCGGTGGCGGCGGTGGAAACTACTCCGACCCGGATCCGGATCCGGGTCGGAAATCCAAACCCGGCCCGTATCAACGTGAATGTCATCAAAATACCTCGTCCGGTAATAATCTCCATAGGACCAATCGGTCGCCGGAAAATCACGCAGGTCGGGGTACGAGCTGCTGTTCCTCGTCAAGATTGAATTTTTATGCTCCAATTTGGCTTCATAATCAGAATATTCGTACCAATTGTTCGAATTTGAAATATTAGACTTTCGCCTCTCAAATGTTTCGTAACTGGATTTGATTCCATCCTGCTTACTGGGAGAATCTTGAAACTCGACATAATTATTAAATCTCTCCTCGTTTTTGTTTCTGCTTAGAAATCCAAACACTACAGCCACCAAAACAAGAAAAATGTTCAGAGAATCCCAACTCTTTTTCACACTGTTGGGCCTAAAGATCTGAGAGCTGAGAGAAATGGTTGAGGGCACAATGAAAACCAAGAAAAACACAGCTGTTACCAGCAGAAGGAAGACCACCAGCCCGGAGCTGAGAAGCACGGCGGCGGCGCGGCGGCGGAGGCGGTCTCCACGGCGGGCATTGGTGGTGCTTTGAACCCAGAATGGTGTTAAGTCACCTCCATCTCCATCCTCCATTTGTGTTTCTCTGTGTGANTTGGATCAATTAAATTGACTCGTACAAAAAATTGTGTTAGTTTATAGTTTTTGTTGTTTTTCTTGGAAAACAATGGAATTTATGAGATTACAGCGGTGGGATTTGTTTATTTATAGTATTGGGGTTAGGTTTAATTTTTTTTATTTTTTTTTTAATATTTCCAAAATGTGCTGTGGTTGATTCAAAATGTTGTGTGTGACATAAAAGCATGGTATTTTACTATTTTTTTTCCAATACAAAGTTACAAACTGGCAATTAGCATGTAACTTCACATGTTTGGGAGCTGATTTTCCGTATGACAGCCCAAATGTATGACGCGTTTGGCTCTTCAAAAGTTGTCACCTCAACTGAAAATATTGTTTTTTTAATTAACTGTATTATTGGCAAATAGTTTACTAATGTAAGCACAAGTGTGTATTAACTCCACAGTTGAGATCTCAGTGTAAGGGCATAAAGAAAATATGGTCAACAATATTTGGACTAAAATATAATGTACACGTGCTAAAAAGAAATTGCTCTGATAAATAGATTTCTACCAAGCGATGTAAAGTTTTAGTATTTTTTTACATTGCAGTTTTGAAAATCAATCTAAACTCTAGCTTAAAGATTCATGTCTTGCTTAACCTAATTGTTTCCTATTTCCTACACATAATGTGAAAATTGCCAATCAGACATTGGCTTGATCTTTGTAAGCAAGATAATGAAATAACAAAAGTCAAATTCAACATCTTCCATAGAATTTTCTTGGAAATCTGCANAAAAAAGAAGAAAGAAAAGAAAAAGAAAAACTCCATGTTATCCTCATAGAGCAAACCCAATGAACAAGAAATTACAAACAGTTGAAACAAAAGAATTTGTGTAAATAAAAAGGTTGTATTCAATTGTATTTTTGTCCGAAAAGATTATCCGACGAGTCAAAATTAGAAAAAAATTATTTCAAATTCCAACCTTTTTATTTTAATGTCATAAAGCTAAACTTATTTAAGTAAAAAAGAAAATTACCTTGGGCCAACCTTGATAGAATTGAGTTACTGTCCAAGTTTACTGAATCACTTTTAGCTATTAGGTTAAAATAGTGAGTAAACATGACAACTTGAGTTGTATTCCAGATAAACATGTTATGAGTACATTTAGACGAATCATACTGATTGTTGAAACTAAATATGAAATTTCATATTAAGAATATTTTATCACGATATAATCAAATCAATGATAATTTTACGAGAACATTATCAATAATATATGAATATTGATATATCATTTTACTATTATTTTATGTAAGTATATTATAATTTTTAATGATGTACAATATATAAACCATAATTTATGTCAACACACACATATATATAATTATAAGATATGCCCATAACATTATTTTTTTAGTCAACAATCGAACAAGGAATCAATTTCCATGTAACATGGGACCATTGCTTGCATTGTGTAACGATAATATGATGTGAATTTGAATTGTACATTTTGCTCTGTATTGATTAAGACCTTATGTGGGACAACTCATGGTTTCTGTTGTCCTAAGGCCATAGGACTCTAATTCTTGCACGACAACTTATTCGACTCTGCCCGCAAATTGGAAGTGCCGTTGGATTACAAACTTTCACATTTACATGTTAAACAAAATGAGTTGCTCGTGAGCTCAGCTCGAGTTCGGCTCGACTCATTTGATAAACGAGTCGAGCTCGAGTTCTCTTAAAGCTCGTTTCCTTAATAAATCGGGCTGGGCTGGGCTCGATAAGACTCGAAAAGAGAATATTTTTATATAATTTTCTATAATTTGGCTCATTAATTAAAATTCGATCGAGATTGGCTTGCTGATTAAGGGTCAAACTTGACTCGTTAATATTGATAAACGAGCTGAACTCAAGCTCAATTTTCGTCATTCACTTAATGAGTTTTAATTTCCTTTATATTTTTCGAGGAGTATTCGATTGTACCGTTGACTGCCATGAAACCATATGTTTGTTTGTTATTATTATTTTTTTTAATCATTGGATTAATAATAATATAAATATTCAAATGGTTGTGTATTGATTCAGTGGTAAAAAGAATTATTGGCTGAAGTTCACTCACAGTAATGATTTACCATTTTCTTAACTTGTAATAATGATAAATCTGAAAAATCCCAAACCAGGATTGTCACGACTCACACACCAGAATTGAGCCAAACCAGTCAATTCTGCTCTCAACTGTGTTACTGTTTTATTCTTTTGTCCCAAGTGTTGCAATCGAAAATTTGACAAACTTTAATGGAATTGAGCCAACTATTATGTGAAATTAC